AGCTTATATTTTAAAGATGTTAGTTTCGTCTTTCTTGAACGAATTTAAACGTAAAAATTCTAATTATAATAATATTCTTTTTATTAATAAAAAGAATAATAATAATGTATTTAAATCTTATAATAAGAATTCTAATTCTTTTTAAATTTTAAAACTTTATAAAGGGAAGAAAATTTAAAAAGTAATTAAAAAGGTTATTTTCTATATTTATAATAGTAAACTTAAGTATAAAGTATAATGATTATATTTTTCTATATTTAAATAAAGTTCCTAAATATTTTAAGAAGTTAAAGAAATATAAAAATTTTAACAATTTTTTTGAATTTTAGAAGTCGAAGATAATAAGTTTATTAATAAAGTTTTCGAAAATATTTAAATAGTAAATAGAATGACACTTAATATTCTAAATATTATTATTAAAAAGATTTAATTTATTAAATTAGAAGATAATTATAATTAAGTATTAAAATTAAAAATTAAAAGGTTATTTAATAGTTTTCTTGAATTATATTATTCGACTACGTTTAATAAAAATAATATAAATAATTAAAAAAATATTTCTACGATTTATTTTAAATCTACAACTTAAATTATTATAAATAAGAATTTGTTTTATGAAAATTAATTTTTTAAAAAAGGCTATTTAAAGGTTTACATTAAATATTATAAATATATTAATCATTCACGATGGACCACAAGTCGACATCCCAGAGCTAGTCACAGCGGAAGATATCCACAGCGTCCTCTCTACGGTAGCGCCGAACAAGGCGCCAGGCGACGACTGGCTCTCAAACAAGTTCCTGAAGGCATGTGGGGAACCCTTTAAGGAAGCGATGGCAGTCCTGGCGACGGCCAGCTTCCGCTTCGGGTACTTCCCACAAAGGTTTAAGAACGCACGGGTAGTTGTCCTAAAAAAGCCCGGTAAATCAGCCGACCAGCAGCGACTGGCCGGGGCATGGCGACCGATATCACTACTAAGTAGTGTGGGGAAGATCCTAGAGGCGTTGATCGCTAAGCGGTTGATGTCGGCAGCAGAGAACTTCGCCCTCCTCCCGGAGGGCCAAATGGGCAATAGACCAGGGCGTTCGACAGAGTTCGCTATCCGCGTCGTTACCGATGCGGTCCACACAGCGTGGAAACTCCAGGCCACAGCATCACTAATGCTCCTCGACCTCAAAGGCGCGTTCGATAGAGTCAACCACCGATGGCTGCTCCATACCTTATGGGAAATGCGTCTTCCGCGGTGGCTACTATGGTGGATCTATAGCTTCCTTTCCTCGAGGAAGGGTTCACTGTTTTTCGACGATGAGTTATCACCACCGTACGACATTACGTCGGGGGTGCCACAAGGATCCCCCCTCTCACCCATCCTTTTCCTCCTTTCCATTACGCCGCTCTACACCAAGCTAAAAACGATCCCGAACGCAATTACCGTCGGGTTTGCCGATGACACTAATATCCTGGCGGTAGCAAAGACGACTGAGGAGAACTGCAGAACTCTCCAAGCTGCTTGGGAGGTCTGTGCCGAATGGGCAAGGGAGCGAGGGATGGAATTCGAAGCGAGCAAGACGGAGTTGATGCACTTTACCCGGACAAGGAAGCCACGAGAAGAGACTCTCCGGATCGGGGAGACCGTCCTAGAACCGGCAGAATCCGCAAGGTTCCTAGGCGTTTGGTTAGACAGGAAACTCAACTTTAAGGCCCACGCTCAGGCCATAAAGAAGAAGATGGCGACGCAGACCTTCGCGTTAACACGGCTAGCGGCAAAGACATGGGGCTGCTCCTTTGAACGAGCCCGGGAGATCTATACAAAGGTTATTCGAAGCGCAATAGCCTACGGCGCATCGGCATATCATCAACCGACGGAGCTATACGGGAAAGCCCGGGGAATTGCAACCCAGCTGGCGAAACATCAGACCAAGTGCCTAAGGGTAATAGCGGGGGCATACAAAGCGACCCCGATAAGAAACTTGGAAACCGAAACGTACTGCCCGCCGATCGACCTTTACCTAAATAAACGGGTAAGAGCCTTCGAAGAAAGAATTGCTCAGACGGACCAAGCAGAGTTCGTTAGGGGGACGGCTGCATGGGTAGCCGGTTGCATCCAGGAGAGGTCCCGACGACGGACTTCCCCTCCCAAAGACCTACCGGAAAGCGGAGCGGCCAAAGCCCAATGGGCCGAGAGATGGGCGCCCACCGCCAACCTAATAGGGGAAACAACGCCGCAAGACGCGCCACACGATACGCAACAGGGCACGCCGTATCAGGAAGAGCCATCGGCCAAAGATAGGGAGCGGTGGTTAGAGAAAGCAACAAGGAGGGAATGGATAGCAAGGTGGGAGATGCAGACAGCGGCGGCAGTCTCTAAGTCGGGAAGACGCTACCAGTTGACGATCGCTGACCTAAACCCAAAGTTCGACGGGACTTCGATAAGGAGACATATGGTCAGCTCCAGAAAGGAAAAGAGGCGCGGTGAGGCTGAGGGCGAAGACCCTCGCCCCCTCTCTAAAGCCAAAAGCTCACTCCTCATCCAAGCGCGGACAGAAGTAATCGGGCTCCGGTCCTTCCTATTTAAAAGGAAGGTCCCCGATATCGAAACACCGTACTGCTCTTGCGGGACGGGCAAGGAGACCTTTGCACACTTGGTTTACGACTGTCTATGGACATTCAACCAGCGAATAAGGGAAGAAGAGTGGCCGCACAGCCAAGAGCAACTGGCTGTATACTTGGACGACGGAGAGCAGGCCGACCGCCTCCTCGGTTGGGTATTGAGATTGGGACGGCTCCGAGAGTACCGCCTAGCAGTTGAGTTGGAGGAGGAAGGAGTCGGCGAAGCCGACCCTCAGGGATAACACATCAGTCGATGGTAAGATATCGGCGATGCGTTAACGTCATTATTCACCGAGCGGTGGGTGAGCACCGCTACGGTAGGAAACGCAGGTGCCGGCCTCGCGGCCGGGCAAGGGGCGGGGGTTTTTATCCGGCAGACGGAAGTATGTACGGTTTTCCCTCCGAAAATAGGTGAAGGACCCCATGCCCATCGGGCGCTTAGTATATAGTTACTAGTATAGGGAATAGGACTACTATCACTATCACTATTAATCATTCTTTTAATTATTTTATAAATAACTAACTTATATAATTAAATTATTTCATATTATAATATATTAAAAATAATTCTTTTAATTCTATATAGTACATATAAATTAAAATATTTATTTAGATAAAAAGTTGAATTAAAAATATCATTTAATTATCTATTATAGAAAGCGTTTATTATTTATTAAATACAATTATTCTTAATTAAAAGTAATTATTAAATATTAAATACTAAGATGGAATATACTATTCGTATAGAAATAATATATATACATATGAAAATTAGAATAAAGTTTATAGTAAAATAAAGTTGGAGTTTCCCGTATACTAAATATATTTGAAGAATTATTAATATAGTATAAGTATATTCTCCTCTTGCGCTTTTGCGGCGAAATCGCTTTAACAGTCCTACGTTATTTAATATCGGAGATAAAAATATTTTCTATTTCCTCTAAATTATTAAGCATTATTTCGTTTATAATATTATCTTTCTCATCTTCCGTTTAAAGAACCTATATTTCTTTTACCTCCTCCTTCTTTATTTTCTTCTTCTTTAATTCCTTTTTAAAAGAGTACTTAGTATTTTATTTAATATAGTAATAATATATATAGGTGTTATTAAATTACTTTAAATAAAGCGTAATGTATTTGGCTGTTAAGCGTATAGTAGCTTCGTTAATATATTTAATATATTTATCGCCGTTATATTCCTCTTCGAATAAATATACTATAATAATAATTATTTACCTAATTATATTAACTTTAGAGATAATAATTTCCTATGCCCTATTCCTAAAGGTTTTTCTAACTTCCTATAAATATACATAATTTTGTTAGAACCGATAATATTAAATTACTTCCGATATAATAATATAATTTTAATATACTATATTATCCTTTAGGACTTATTTGGTAGAGCCCGTAATATACTTTATAATTTTGGCTAATAAATAGGCGGTTTACTCTTTAGTATTTAAAACTTCGCTCTATTAAATAGGAGGCGTTGGTAATAGGCGGCTAATCAATTAGAACAGCAGCGGTATAGTAGGAATTTGTATAGGGAGCGGTAGGGGCGTTATAAGAGAATTCGGAGAGAGTGGCGAGAGAACGGAGAGAGAGCGGAGAGAGAGCGGTAGGGGAGCAGTAGGGAAATATATATATTGGTTGTACGATATTAAAGTGTAAGGGTATAAAAGGAAAGTAATTAATTTAGCAAAGAGGAATATACGTACGTTTGTGTGCGGAGTATTAATAATTTCTCCGACAAGTGGTTATAGTTGAGAGCTCGGACCAATTTTTAATTGAGCATAGCCAACACTTAGGCTACCGTACTAGTGGGACGGGAGCCGATCGCTTCGCTTCCAGGTTGTTTTCTTCGGTGACGACTACCGATCGGGAATCGGCACCTTTGTTACCTCCGCCAGCTCCGCGTCCTGGATATGATGAAGAACGTCGTCTTCAAGTCTACGGTGAGAACCTGGCTGAAGTAGGTTGAGGTTTGGTTCAGGTCTAAAGGAGAAGACACATTCATGATGTGATATATCGACAGCAGATTACTTGGCTCGTCCTTGGTAGGCACAAGGTCGGAAGACTGAAGAGTACAAGTATCACCGTGCACTGCTAATCCGTATTTCCATCTGTGTGCTGCGAAAGAGATCGGTTTTGTGGGATAGCCGTCGTCTACACTCATATACTGCCGGCTTAGTCCGTTCATAAAGATAAAGTTCCCATATCGTAGGGCCATTGACCACGCAGCACCCCAATTACATTCATTCTTGCCCAAAGAAGGACCCGAAATGATCATCAAGTCTAAAGATTCGCTAGAGATAACACCACCGCTACTTGAGTTTAGCATTATCCGTACACCTCACCGTAAAAATACAACCGCTCAATAACAACGATCAAGTCTGGAGAGGAATTGCTCGCTCCGGCACATGTTCCGGGTTGTGTACAGGACTGCCAGCATCGTTGTTGGCCGTTTGCTCGGCCTGATCTCCCTGCTGCTGGTTCTCTTGTTCATTGGCGGCGGCAGCGGCTGCTGCTGCTTCTGCCGCCGCCGCAGCTTCTTCCCTTTCTCTCCGCTCACGCTCACGCTCAGCACGCTCAACCGCCTCGAGCTGTGCAATGTGCCTCTCAGCAACCCCAGGAGCGATACTGGCCAGGAACAAGAGGCCAGCTCTTTCGATGCGGCGGAAGAAATTGACCAAGTGGACAGCCCCAGCATTGTCGATATCCCGGCGCTCGTGTAATCCAACAAGACCTACGCCAGGCTCACCATTCGCGCCCGCAGGTGGGGGTGCTTGAGGTCGCGGGACACGCTGGCGTCGCTGCTGATTCGGGTCGGCCATATGAAGTAGTCCATCAAGATGTTGTCTGATTGGCCCAAGAGCTTGGTTGGCAAATCGATTCAGGAAACCCGCGTTCATGACGAGAACGCCAGCGGCCAGGGCCACCATGGTAAATACTCGAGTCCAAGAAGAATCGTTCGACGTGAACCACCATATGAAGAAGATCAACCTAATAATCAGCCATATATGAGGCCACGCTGCAGCAACCAATGCGGCGGCTCCGACGGGATTGTTCGGATGCCCTATTCCATGTCCAATAGCTCGATGGTCGATCCTGATCCTCACCTGCACAGGTTGGTGTTGTCCTTGTGGTCTCTGCGGCTGGTTCTGGACTTGCGGTGTCGTGTGTGTTGGAGGATAGGGAACAACTCCGGGGTATAATAAGGGTGGCTGCGGGAGGGTGAAGGCATGATGGCTCTGGAAAGTTCCTGGTGTGGCGTACAGCTCCGATCCGTTCTTGACCAGAAGACCTCTTGGGCCAGTGGGAGAGGACAGGATATACACCTCCGCTTGTTGTCTCTGCGGCTGGGACTGTTGTTGAGACGCTGTAGCTGTTCGGTTCGTCGGACCAGAGGTTGATATTCTGACTGCAGAACCGGTCATATGTTCGTGGATGTTTCGAATCTGTTCATCTGCAGCTGGTGCTACTCCGGAAGGAGCCGAATTTCGCTCCAAAGCGTCAATCCGGGCTTGCATCCGCTGTGAAATCTGGGCTTGTATCCGCTCATGGTGAGCACGCCAATCGTTCTGTGATGAAGCGTCCTGCTGCGTTATCCTTTGCCCCGTAAGAGCAGTTTGGGCTGAAACCGGTGCTGGTTGAGAGGAGGAAGTAGGGCCAGGCGGGTGGTGGTTGGAGGTTCTGACCACGAGATGAAGAGGCTGTTGGTCGCCTGTGCGAAGCTGTTGACATGACAAATATATCAGCCCATGTTCCCCGATTTGAGTACCATTGACGAAGGTGTGCTTACCTTGTCTTCACCAAAGACATCTAGTAAAGTTTCACTCTCGCGGGCGAGCAATCGGCCTTGGTGGATGATGCGCTGCTCGTCGTGAGCCGGGTGCATTGTAAGAACATCGCGGATCTTGTCCTTTAATTGCCCGACCGTCGTCGTAGCTGGGAGACCTTGAAAGTCAAGGTCGTCGGGGACGCCTTCAGATGGGGACACAAAGTGAATATTGACGAGCAGAGGAGCGTCCTCCCCGGGGGTTTCTAGCGCCGAAGGCAAAGACGCTGCCGGCTCTCGGTCATTGGCGGCCATCCTGACTGTCAACGAACTCCTGGTGGGCAGCGATTGGTTCGGACCGGTCGTCTAAGCCAGAAAACCTGTAGGGATTGATTGCTTCTTGGAGCCGTTGACGGAGTTCAGCTAGGTCAACAGGTAACTAGACTTAGAGATTACAACAAGCGGATTCCGAAGACGGGAGTACGATTCTTGCGCAAACAGAGAGAGGCAATCAGACGAATTACGGTAGAGGTAGTGTAAAGAAATGGGAGGAGCAATATTAATTCGAAGCGTGGATGTAGATGCTAGATTCGTTCAAGATGGGATGACAGTGTAGAGGTGCGAGTTGTAGGTTCCATGTCTTTGTCGTGATGTTCTATCGTCAGCTCCTAAACTCCACGTTGTCATTCAGAGCTGACGCGGCAGGCAGGTCCGGGCAGCCGGTAGAGTGGTACCTGGCCCCACGTTGGAAGAATGGGGTTGTACGAGAAATGGGCCGTCCTTACACTCAGACCTGGGCGTGCTAAAGAGCACTTTCTTGTACACGTGTTGCGGAGCCGTGCACCTGGCAGGTACTCGCTATCCCAGCTTCCCCAAGCACACACAACTTGCGGCTTCCTCACTGCGTCTCTCTGCCACTGGCACCCTAAGTATGAAAGGAACGCGGGGTTTACTGGCGAGAATTCGGGGTAAGAAGGTGCGATCAAGGGACACCGAGGTGAGGCCGTGAGAGGAGATCAGGGGAGCTACAAGGTGAAAAAGAGGGGACTTGAAAGGTAGGCAGGAATGCCATGCCCGGGCAGCCGCTGTGCGTCTGGCACACTTGCGTCATGACTTGATGGGATGGAAGGTGATCGTGTGCGCATCGCATCCATTGCTGTATTTATATCTTGCCCTTCATCCCAGGTCTGGATTTATCGTCTGCCGCGTTCACTTGTCAACCACCAACAACCCGACACGAACCGACAGCATATCTCGGTTCTCATCCATCCTTATCCCGGCTAACATTGCGCCTTATCAAACCTCCCGAGGGCGGATACGGAGACCCGGGGAAACGGGGGAGGAGATACGGGGTAGGCGCGCCATCGCCACCACTCGACTCTTTCACAAGCCAGAACATTGTTACGATCGTCCCCGGTAACGGCGCCCATAGGCTGTACACTAGGGGAACCCCTCGAACACTCGAACAGCCCCTATTCGGTCAAGTGGCGGGAGCCCTGAAGGGTTCACAGCGGCAGGGATTGCAACGCATTGCGGACCCGCTAATTACATTTTCACTCGTTTCCCACTTTGCCTGTGGCCCTCTAGCCCTGGCCTCTCCGTGTGGTCCTAGCCAACGCTGTCGGCCCTGTCGCGACTGAAAGACCGTCTTCCTCCCCCAAGATGGCCTCTTTCCAGCTGGGCCCGGTCTCCGCTCGAGTCCGGGTTTCCACGCTTTCTTCGACAGCTTTCGGGCGGTGTCCGACTTCCACGCGCTTCACCAGACTCGAAACACCGTTCCCTGCGTCGACACGGGCGCCCCAAGCCCACCAAATGTTTGGCCGACGCTTCTTTTCCAACCACATGCCAAAGCGGCCCAGGATGCAGTGGCACCCCATACCCATTGGCCTGGGCATCGGCCTCCTAGGCGTCATGCAGTTCTACAAAGTCTACACGAGAGACCGCGACGAGAAACGCCAGGCCGCCGCCGAAGGCTCCGAGCCTGGTCAAGCCGGCAAGCCCAAGAAGCGGCGCCGCATCCGGCCGGACGGCCCTTGGTACGTTGACCACGCCTTCCCCAAATTTTTGACGCCATGAGCTAACCACCCAGTATACAGGCAGGTCCAGGTCATGTCGACTCTTCCCCTCAAGGCCATGTCCCGTCTTTGGGGCAAGTTCAACGAATTGACTATCCCCTACTATCTCAGAGCTCCCGGTTTCCGTCTATACGCATACTTCTTTGGTGTCAAGTGAGTGAGACCCGGGCCCCTCCCTTCCTCTGTCTTGTGCTGACACGTGCGCTCCAGTCTCGATGAAATCGAAGAACAAGACCTCCACAAGTTCCCCAACCTCGCCGCTTTCTTCTACCGCACTCTCAAGCCCGGTGTCCGCCCCGTGGATCCCAACCACAATGCCCTGGTTGCGCCATCCGATGGTCGAATACTACAGTTTGGGCGAATCGAAGGAGGCGATATCGAACAGGTGAAGGGTATGACTTATACTATCGATGCGCTCCTCGGTCAGAATTCCCCAACTCCCAGCATCTCCGGTACGACCCTGCTCGACGAAAGCACCAAGGCGAAATCGGTCAATGGAGACTTTGAGGGCGACGATGAATTGGTCAAGAAGGACGAAGAATTCGCCCGTGTCAATGGTATCTCTTACACTCTCCCGGATCTTCTCTCTGGTTCCAAGAAGCACGACAAGCTGTTCAAGCCCAAGGATGAGTCTGTCACCCCTTCCAAGACTTCCGAGACTGAGGTGAGCGCCGAGCTTGCGCTTGGTGAGAAGCCCTGGTACGACGTTCTCTCGGGTGGTGAGCGCCACACTCTCTACTATGCTGTCATCTATCTGGCTCCTGGCGACTATCATCGGTTCCACTCCCCTACGGAATGGGTTGTCGAGCGCAGACGTCACTTTGCCGGCGAGCTCTTTAGCGTGTCCCCCTACCTGCAGCGCACCCTCCCTGGTCTTTTCACCCTGAACGAGCGTGTCGTCCTCATCGGCAGATGGCGTTGGGGCTTCTTCAGCTACGTCCCTGTCGGTGCGACCAATGTCGGCTCTATCAAGATCAACTTTGATCGCGAACTCCGGACCAACAGCTTGACGACCGATACCGCTGCTGATCGGGCTGCGGAGCTTGCGGCGGCCAAGGGTGAGCCTTACCTGGGATATGCCGAGGCCACCTACGAAGCTGCGAGCCCGGTCCTGAAGGGCCATGCTCTGCGCAGAGGTGAGGAGATGGGTGGCTTCCAGCTTGGCAGCACCGTCGTCCTTGTCTTTGAGGCGCCCGTTGCCGAGTACGACGAGTCCGGTAAGGTCATCAAGGGATGGACCTGGGACGTCGAGAAGGGGCAGAAGATCAAGATGGGACAGCCCATTGGTCATGTTGAGCTCTAAATTGGGCACACAAAGAAGCCTTGTTACGGTGGCAGGCGTTTGAAGGAGGGAATGGTTGAAAACTAGACAAGATACAGGTGGTGTATTCGGGTCTCGGATCTCTTCAACACGTATCCTTTGAATTTATACTCTTTATATGATACCCCTTCCCGGGTAGCAATATCTATGTTGCACTCTGTTTTTCATCTTCTTTTCATAGGTATATACTTTTTTCAAAGATTGGAAGCATCAAAAAGTCTGCATGGCATGTGGGTTGGGATCTGAAAAAGAGGTGGCAGCAGTTAGGACAGATAGATGGGATGGACACGCGGCATGTACATAGCTGAGAAATTGAAGTATCTGTACCAAACACACAACTTGTGCAACTATCTATCACATGGATGAGATGTCGCAAAAGTAAATAAACAAGGGCCACACTTTAAAATGACATCAACCCACAACACCCCTATCTCGGGAGCCAAATCTAGCGTCAAGTATTTTTAGCCCCTTCTCCCCACGTTCTCCCTTCGCTTCTAGAAATTACTAGGTTTTTCATCGGAAGATCCAGACCTTTCATCTCATCCCTCCAACTCCAGGAGTCCAGACGAGGGCCAGGATCAGGATACCGGCTGTCTGGCTCACAACGTGGCACGTGCCTATCAAGGTTCAACTCTTTCTTCCACAGCAGACTTCTACAGACGAACTGGAACTGCCCCAACTGAATGAATGATGCTGATAAAAAGGGGGTATTCATCATCTACTCTACTCTATTGCCTAGCGCAGTAGCAGTTACCAACAATTCGCTTCGCTTTCTTTTGCAAACAAACAAAACCAAACACAACCTCCCCTCCCCTCCCCTTAGTTCCTTCTTTTTTTCAAGGGCATTTGCATTTAAGCAGAACCAAAAGTCTTGAACTTCTCCTCCACCGCGCCGAAAGCCTTCTCACCCGCATCACCCGTCTTGCCACCAAAGACAAGCTGGGCGTTGAGCTTCCAGCTCTCGGGAACGGACCACGTCTCGGCCACCTTGGCGTCGATCAAGGGGCTGTAGTGCTGCAGGTTGGCGCCGAGACCCTCGGCCTCGAGGGCGACCCAGAGAGTGTGCTGGAGCATGGCGTCCGACTGGGTGGCCCAGCCGGGGAAGCGGTCGGCGTAGAGAGCGAACTTTTCTTGCATGCCCTTGACGACGGTTTCGTCTTCGAAGAAGAGGATCTGTTTGGTTACTGAGTGTTAGTGGGATGGTTCATCAAAGAGGAGAGGTTGAGAGGCAAGAAGCAGAAAGAGGTAAAAGAAGGGTTAACATACAGTACCAGCAGCACCCTTGAACATGGCCATCCTTCCCTCCGTGCTAGCCCAGGCGTCCTCGGGCACGATAGCCTTGAGGGTCGCGGAGGTGATGTCCCAGAGCTTGTCGTGCTCGGCGCCGAAGAGAACAACGACGCGGTTGCTCTGCGAGTTGAACGACGAGGGAACGTGCTGCAGAGCCTCCTTGACGATCTCGTTGATGCGCTCGACGGTCAGGGAGCCGAGGTCCTTGGAGAGAGGGTAGTAGGTGCGGCGGTTCTTGATGAGGTCGAGGACCGCGTTGGCAGAGATCTGAGTGGAAGACATCTTGGATGTGGTGGTGTGGATGTTGCTTGTGAAAGTAACGTAAGGGTTGATGGTGGTTTTGGTTGAAGGACGGTGTGTTGCAATAGTCGCGGTTCTGAAGATGGTGGGAGTCGTGCTTCTTATGAGACCAGCCGAGATGGTAGCTCGAAGTCTACTAGGGGCTAGGTGTCCTCGCATCTAGACTGATAGGATCCAATGTTACCCTTGCGATCGAGGGTGGGAACTCTGTTGGCGGCGGTTGTTCCGTTGTCTAGACGTGTCTAGACGTGGATAGTAACAGAGGGAAGGGCGGGGCTTCTGGACGTGGCAGTTTCGGAATTCTTTAACGTTATGGAGCACTAGAGGGATGATACCGAAGATGTTGAGGATGTCACTGAAGATATTCACACGAGGTACTGAAGGAGGTTTATATCTGTGTCTCGTGAGATATCTGGATCATCAACTCGGGAGGGGAAGGAAGCCTCCATCTCCATGTTGTCCCACCCGATGCCATTGTCACGAATGGGCTTACTAAGAGCATTCGGATGCCTTCATGATCTTCATCTGAGACTCTCTGCCGAAAAGCGAAGAGGGCAGAGACGAAACAAGCATCGCGATCGTTACCTCTCACCCCACACAGCGACGACCGTGGAGCCGGCCGGAAGGTGGCAGAGTTGTTTGAAAGAGAGGGGCAGCCGTCTAGCCGACCAGGGGTGTTGTTGGGTTTCGGATGGATTTCCAAAAGCTCTGTCAGCCATTAACAATACAACCGGCGCACCGGAGACCAAAAATTGACCACCACCCAATGAGACGACGAGAAGGTTCCATATTGGGGAAATTTTGCTCTATCCAGTTAGTGCGCTGACAGACCGAAAGTTTCAAGAGGCTCTGCGGTTACCGCCCGGAGCACAGACACGCTGCCAAACCGACCCCTCGTCTGATGACGAAGGCTGACAAAGCCGACCTTGGCAATTATTAAATGCTTAGACAAGCAGGTGAAAGCGGGGTGCTCCCGGTGAGCCGCCAAGGTCTCAAACTTCCGTCTCATAAAGATTGGTGAGCCTTTGAAATTCTTACAAAACAACACGACTCGGCCCGTGATCTTCAGGGTCTTTGGTGTACTGCCGCAGAGCGTGCGTGACTCGGAGGAGCAAAAACATCCCATTTTTAGCCGGCTGGCCTGGGTTCTCCTTCGTCAGGGTTCTTGACTCGGATCGTTCATGCATCCTTCTTGCTCATGCATGTTCCCCCGTTACTTTGTTGCTGGCAAGAGGTGACATCCCATGACGTTCGGGAAGTTTCTTGCGACTTGATAGCGGCTAGCACACGCCGGTATCATCAGTAAAAGGAATCAAGAGATAGTCTAGGTATACTACAACGTATTCGGTACTTTGAAGATACGTCGCTGGTCATACTGGTCTAGCTAGGTGGTGATATTCAAAACGTGATATGGCGGGATCACCAGCGGCTATTGCGTCACGGATATTGCCTTCCACATCATCAATGTCTCTCAACGGCGAGGTTGAAAGGTTGTGGTGGTGTGCAATCTGATTGGTCAATGCATCTTTGACGTTGATGATCCCATTAGAGTGCCGCGGCGTGGGGTTTGGTATCCTAGAGTTGACCATGAAGTTGAGCTCATTTCAACAGTTGAGCTGGATTTGGGCGCTTGTTTGGGTGAAGTTGATCATGGCCTTGCACCGGGGAGTTGAACACATAACATTGAGGTCATCGAAGTGCTCGGCGGGTGAGATTCTTGCCCAAAGTATTTACGTTTGTAGACGAAGGTACAAGTCAACGTACATCAACTAACCAAGCCCGAATAGTTTTGCGTACAGACAGATGGCCTTCAGGAGATCTAATAACGCTCAACAAAAAGTTGTTATGAATGATGATATGCCTAGAAAAAGCTGAATGCGTACGTGCAAAATAAACAAAACAAAGAAAGAAAACCAGAAGTAAACTCTGACAGAAACCCGCCCATGCACGCCGGAAAATGCTGGTGTTGTTGTTTGTCTTCGCCCTTGAACGCCGTTTCTACTCTACCCCGCCTGCCCTTGCTTTCCTTTGGTGTGTATGCTTTTTCGTTTGGCCTATGCGGCCCCTGCCGATGTATTTTCCTTCTCTTCACCAGTTCCCAATGTGAACAAAATATGTCGCGCCCCTTAAGGGGCCCAAAAAGGTAGTATTTTCTTGAGGCAGTGAAACCGATCACCACGTTTCGGCAATGTATTGCCCAACCTCCCTCTTCAGCTCCCAGAATTGCTGCGCCTCGTCGTGCTCGAGGTTACCCTTCTCCATCGCGACCTCGATCAAGGCCTGTTCGACGCCTTCACCCATGCCCTTGGAGCTTCCGCAGACGAACACCCTACCGTCGACTGAGTTGATGATATACCAGACCAAGTCAGCCTGAGCCTTGACCTCTTCCTGGACATATCGCCCCTGACCACGACGGCTCTCCACCACACGCTTGACCTCATCCTCATGGACACCCCACTCGCCGCTGTACAGCTCATCGACTAGCGAGTCACGGCAACCCTGGAGAACCCAGACCTTGTTGGCGCAGTTGGCGGTCTTGAGGCGGCGCTGGACGAAACCTCTGAAGGGAGCAATGCCGACGCCGGCACCGATGAGCAGCATGGGGCCATCCGCAACGAACTGCTTGGCGAGGGGGTTGGCCATCAGACCCTTGAACATCGGGATGTAGACCTCAATGTCCTTCTCGCCTCTTTCTTGTGCCTCGATATACTTGAGAGCTTGGCGCTGGAAGAAACCAGAACCGACTCCGTTGCGCGAGCCTGTCCTCCAGTCGGACGCAGTATGGACGGTGACGGCAATCTCGATCAGTCGATGTTGCTTGCCATCGCGTCTCAAGAAGGACTCGTGCGGGTCGTTGGACAAAGAGTAGAAGCGGGGCATCAGAGGTTGTAGGACCGAGAGGAGCAAATCGAGAGGCGGTCTGGCGCTGGGGAAGGCATGGAGGAGCTGGGCGACGGTGATATGCGGGCCGGTGCGGAAGTCGCAGAAGACTCCCTGGCCTTCCGCCGAGCAGAGGAAGAACAGAATCTTGCGCTCGTCCTCGTTGGTCGCAGACTCGGCTAGAATACGGAGAAGTTGCTTCGTGGGCGGGTAGGACTGGATGTCAGAGCACCATGTCAGGAGGTCTCTCCGTGTTGTGACAAGCTCACGGGCCTGATCTTCGCCCCATACGGTGGGCCATCTGCCCTTGGTTGTCCTTAGGAGGACGGGCTTGTCGCGGAGGAAACGGGGAACAAGGAGCAGTTCGAGAAGCTCCTCTACCATGGACTCGTCGTTGGGAGCCGAGACACCAATGGCTCCGCCGACCTTGAAATCGACACCTTCATCCTCGGGGTAATTTGTGACATCAATGTCGAAGTGGAATGTACGCTTCTCGGCGCCTTGGCCTGTCAACTCACGAGCGGTGTGAATGCGGGCGGGGAAGACATGGTGAGGCGGGTGAGGTTGGACAAAGGAGGGTGGCTGTATCTTGGTATCAAGATCCTCCAGAGCCAGCTTTTGTATAGACTTTTCGATATCGGTTGTGGCGGATGCCGTGTTACCATCCATGTTGAGAGCCGCGGTAGACTCTGTAGGAGACGGCACATTAGACGGACGGCGAAGGGGCTGCAGGAAGGCAGTCTGTTCGGGCAGGTCGAGGATGTTGTTTAGGACAGTCGGAACTTCTTCGATCTTGAGGCCGAGAGCGCGGTATGCGTCGTTGTCAGGAAGGTTGACCCGCTCATACTCGATACCCTGCTTCTTGACCCTCTTGCCGTCGGAAGTGAGGCAGCAACCACCGCCGCAACACCTCTGGACCAATTCGACTGTTGTCTCGCCCGTAATACGCTGGATGTCAGCGGGAGACTTGACAATAAGGACAGTGGATGCGCGGCGGCGGCGCGGCTGCTCGTCAGATTGGCGGGGTTCCTCGCTTTCCGAGTGTTCGGAAGACTCTGAATATGTGAGGGACGGGGCGATGGAGGGCAGTTGAGGCTCTTCGGGTATGCTGTTTGCCGAGTGTTGGGCCATTATACGATCAACTTGTGCCGCCATTGTTGCGTTTGTGAAAAGGTGCGGTGCGTTTGTCGGAATTCGCTGTGGCGAGTAGCGAGTAAAGGAGACGGGGTGTTTTTGTTGGCAGATGCTAACAATAAATAGGGAGTTGGGAGTGGTGACGATGGAGGTGCAACGGCCGGCCCGAACGGTGAATGGTGAAATTCCAAGATTCCGCGGAGATCTGATTAGATCACTGTGGGCGAATCACTGTGTGAGAACCGGAGATAAAAATGCTCGTGCACTGGCAAAAAGTCTGGGGCAAGTCTGTGAATGGAAGGAAGAGGTCAAAACTCAAGACTCGGGATGGCAAGTAGAGGTTAAAAGCGAAGATGAGAAAGGCCAATTACCAACATATAAAAACCGGCAAGAACGACCGGCAAACAAAGGGCGAGCCCGGTCTGAGGGAAGAAGGAGCAGAGGAGCAGAGAGATTCCGGGGTGCAGTGGCCACAAGCTCAACGAAAAAGGACGGGAAATCGCGATCTTTAATTATTTGCATGTCATACCTAATGCAGACCCACCAATCCCCGATATGGCGATAGATGGGTCCCCGCACATGCTTGGGGCCGTTGATCGCAAACGAGCAGCCCTTCCGCCGTTCTCCGTGTCTGCCCGACGTCAACAAAGGGGAACATGAACATTGAACATCTTCGGTGTGTGGTTGGGCTTTCAGTCTCCCCAAACCTTCCAGTTTCCCGGAGATTTGTTTAAAACAAAATACCGCAAACCCGGCCGACATCGTTAGGCTTATCAAGGTCCCTCCCGCGACATCCCACGGATTAGGCAATTCCCCACGAACTTTAATGTATTAGGGCGGCACCGGCGCCTCGGGCTGTCGAATCTCAGGCACGGGGTTGTACAAACCGAGCAGCCGGGCAAGACGCCTTGCACTCAGCTTGTTGAGGCTATGTTTGCGCCGACACCCTATAGTAACCTCAATTTTCCCCTCAAGCAGAACTGCATTGAGCCTGGCCAGCCTGGAAAGGTTAATCCGGGAGAAAGTGTCAGGTGATTCTGACCGCTTTTCATCCCGTTTACTCGTACTTTTACTAAGATCCCCATTCCCCCTTTATAAATCAATCTTAGGACCGGTTCATGACTGATGACTCCATGGTCCTACCGTCTGTCCGAAGAAAGATCTCAGGCGACTGTTATTTCGTATGGTGTCATACTCGACCCGAGTACAAGGCCTTGCTTGCAAGATGATTGCTCACAAGACCGGTTTCCCAGCGACTTGCCCAGATGGTGCAACACTGCCCTTTTCAGAGTTGCCAGAGAGAAGCAAGAGGCCGATGGACTTTCCGAGTTTCATCTCCATCACGAGAGTCAGCCGATCCGGAGCCGTGAATGAAAAGATGTGATGTCGCCACTTTTTCCCACGATCATGCCAAACAAGCCAAGACAAGCGTCGGCAAGCTTGACACGCCCAGACAGGGCTCGACCAGGACCTGGATCAAATCAATTCTCCCCCATAGCTGCCAAGGACACCAGCGACACCCTAGCTCTTGGACACATGCACATGTTCATTTCTGGATAGGGAAATGCGATCTTGTTTTCTCTGGCTGGAAGGGCCGACACCTTGATGGCCTCTATGCCTCTGCAAGCTGACAAACAGCTCCCTTCAACCAGCCTGGAGAGGAAGCGCTCCTCGAGGCAACATCTCCCACATGTACTTTCTTGATTTTGAACTCTCCTGGAAGTTTCCTCCTGAAGAATTACCGAGTTGCCGACTCAGCGCCATGCCTCCATGCATACGTATGATGGCTTACACCACCTGAGAAAGCACCACGAAGTCCAATCATGTCAACTAACTCTCTGCTTGTATCACTCATCAACAAATATCCAGATTTCTTATATCCCTCCTATCAACACCTCGTAATCCTGACAGCAAACGAACGAAACCCCCTTCGATTCTGGAATGGTCGCTCAAACCAGCGCTAGCAACCTCGGGACCTCCGAGTTCGGTGCAGTGTTCCTCAACACAAGCTCTCTAGCACTGCAGTGCACTGCAGCGGCGGCGCACCGACTGCCCGCATCAAGCCTAACAAACTCACACTGTGCAATCCCCGAGCGGGCGGCCAGGCACGTGCCAGGCTGACAGGATCTAATCAATCACAAAAAATATCAATCAACCCCACTCTTCACAGTGCCCCCGCCATTTCGCCTTCAGCGACCAATCGTTCCTCACAGTTACCGATGAAAAGTGGAGAAGGGTTTGAGACCAAGTGGGCTTTGGCCATCCGCTGGCGCGGCCCTAAAGGACTGGCCTGTTGAGATTAGATGATCAGATAATTCGAGATAACGAACAATTATACGAACAACAACCGAGGTTCAAGGGGAGGGAGCATCACGATCTCAACAAGTCGTTGTGATCCAGAAAAAGGGGGGGAGGGGCAGCCAGGAGAGGGCGAAAAGTTGAGAGTAGGTACGTGTGGCATATGGGATGGGATATACGGCTGGATTCGGCTACCCGAGGAAGAGAAAGACATCATGTCCCAGTCCTAGTTCCGCACATCAGAAGTCAAGAAGGGCACTGCAGTCCTCGTCAACCTCAAGACTCTTTCTTGGTGTATAATCTAAGGTAAACAAACCCCAGAAAGGCAGGCATTTGTCTGGGGAAGTGAAGTGACTGACAGTCACACCACAAGCACAAGAATACAGAATAAATACGGCGGGAGTTTCCAAGATCTCGATTCTCAAAACAGCATTACTCCGAGCACAAGGACCAGGAGTGAGGACGACTTTGTAGTGTACAACACGTACGTCCCGAGCGTCCCTTCTTGTCGACTCGCAATGTCATAGTGTCATACTAGCAGCTATATCAAACCAAGTATAAAAGATGCTACACACGACTAAGAATAGAGGACGGTTCACATCCAATCTTGCCCCTTCTCTCTTCTCAAAATATTTGCGCTACATATTGAAAGCATCTCGAATCCGCTATATTACAAGAGCCGTCTAAGCCGGTAGCGTTCTCCAGCAACAGCCAAACTAGAAATGGAAGGAACGACGATCGATGATCGATCCCGTCCCACTTCCCACTCGATAAATGAGCCCGGGACCGGGACCGGGCCAGCATGGATCGAGATATGCTTGATATGAACCGCTCGGCCATGCGTGCAGAGCGGTCGTTGATCACACAATGATTTTCCGGGGTGCAGGAACATGGGAAGATCGTTCGTATATAGTTCTTACTCGCTCGTTTCTTCATGTCTTACAAGCACTACGCCTGTAAGGATACATAGGAACAAATGGTTCAGGGTTTTGCTCAATCATCTCGTCCCGTTATCTCTTACAACCATGGTACCATGAATTTGGATTCATATATTTAGTACTTGTTTATGGATCTAAGTTGATGGATACCCTTGACAAGAAACTACTCGGTTTACTGGTAGCGGTACGATTGTCCGCAAAACAAACTACTGGACTACCTGTTAGCTATCCACTTGCTTGAAGGATAAGAGAAGATAACGTATCATAAGTCATATTTCGCTTCAAAAAAAGCCACACTTGCTTCCCATAACATGGTCGACCACGGAAAAGGAAAGCATCCCATCCGCTGCGTGTTGTCCCTTAACGCGCCATTCAGAAGAAGTACAATCTGGTAAAGAAGAGCGCGGGAGGCAGAAGAAAAAGGTAAGAAAATGAATGTGAAAAACCCAACAGTATCGAGAATTCGAGGTGACGCAGTTACCCAATGAAGAACCAATACATGAAACAAAAACAACGTAGATGATGGGTAACCGCCCTGCTGGTCTTCAGCCAGGTTAAACGTATCCAATGGGAGTTCTTCTCCAGTTCTCCTTATGCAAACAGGTGCGTCGTACACTGTACACCCGCAAACAAAATACCAGACATTCCTTAACAGTCCAACCCGGTGTCGAGGGACTAGACGGGAGCGCTTTATCTCTCGACCGAGCCTCTCGATATATGTCTGTGATGATCGCTAGTTGTGCCTCGGTTCTTTGCGTTCCAACAAGCGTCGACCGCCGGTATGACAATGTCCTTGAAGTCTTCGTGGGCGACTCGGCCGATGAAGAGGACCTTGTAGTTGTGCTCGATCGTCATAAGCTTCGAGTAGTTTACTCGGGACTCCATCACCAGAGTCTCGTGGGGTGAATCCAGCATTTCGACCTGTATTGGCTCGAACCCCAACTGGGGTTCTCCTTCCAGAAGCTGAGGCTGGTTTCCGGCATGATAGGCGATGCCGTGTTGCCTTGGCTTTACGCCCGCTTTACTGCATCCTCTTTTGAGGTATGTCAGGATAGGTCTGGATTGTGTTAGTATGCCCCAATGCTGAGGCTACGATAAGCAATTGTTGACTTACACACAGGTACAGTTGCCTTCGTCATTTCCGATAACGATGAAACGCCGGATGGACGAGTAGAACAGGTGGCCCGGGTCTTGTACAAGATCCCTTTCTATCTCGCCTGAAAGCTCGTTAAGATTGACACCAGCAGGCTCTGGCCACAGGATCTTGAATACCTGTAAACAGAATCAGACATGTCCATTCGTGTGGAAAACGAACAAATAATGTACTTACCGATCCAGGGCTAAATTTCGAGGAAGGGTGGACTTTGTAGCCTGCCAGAGACTGTCAGCGAAGAGTCGGTGGATATAGCACATTTGGTTGAAGCACTTACGGGGGTCAAGCGGTCCAGATATTGATCTATTCGTCGACACGCTGTAATCGATCGCACCAGAAGAAAGGCCGAGAGGTAGTGGGTACCCAGCCCTTGGTGAAAGGTTCATTCGCAGCATAGTCTGCTGACTGATCGGATCTTCGTATGCTGTAGCTGATGAATAGTCCGGAGATAAGGCGTCAGCGTTGAAACCATTACCAAAACTGAGCCCATTGCTGCCTGCGACACTCTCTGCTGAGGGCGACGTAACCTGATCTGTTGCTGTCCCTGAGTGTCAGTGTGGCTCTCAAAGCTTTGGAGTGCCACATACATTCAGGGTGTTGGCCGCCATCTCTGTTCAAACAACTGCTGGTCTGAGAATATCCGTCGGTCTTAGTTCGTGAATCTTCCCCCGTTTCGAAAAAAGGTTCGTCATCGTCGGGTTCGGCCGATGTCTTTCCCAACTTCGATGAATAACCCCTGTTGTTCGTTTTGCCTTTTCCGTTACCTCTGTCTCTGTGTCTATCACCAGGGCCTCTGTTCTTAGATTTCGTTCCTGGTTCTGGAGGCTTTCCCTTGTCGATGAAAGTCGGTGTGCGATCTTGAGAAGCTGGTCCTGCATGGATTTGAAGTTGATCTGCACTGGCATTAGGTAGGAACAAATTGAACGTGGGTAAACTTGGTGTGGTCTCACCTCCACTATAACTCGGTTGTGATCTATGTGTGTAGTTTCCCGCGCTGTAGGTCTGGCTAAAGCCCGCCTGACTAACATACTGTTCATGCAATGCCGGATTCGAATATGCGGAGGTTGGGTAGCCTGGGCTTGGAAACAGCGTGGCCTGATATTGTTGGTTCGGAAAAAGTTGGGGCTGGTAAAGTGTGTTGGGATATGGTTGTTGCTGAAGATTTTGATATGCAGGAAGTTGGTATGCCTGGGTGTGATATGCTGAATTCTGGTCATAGACTTGTTGGTGTCCGATGCTTGTTGCGCCAAATTCATCTATAAGATCTTCCACCCCGTCGACCTGTTGGCCAGTGTGATGTTCATTTGGAGTGTTAGACCAGCCTGACGACGTGTGCGCCCACCCGGCGGACCATTGATCTTGGCTATTGTAATTCATGCTTGACGCCAGTTATCTTTGGCACCCGGCCAGATGAGCACTCGAGGCTCGGCAGGACTGTCCAGACTCGAGCAACGCCACGGAGCGTAGCCAACAGTTGATTTGTTTCCTGGATTAGATTTGTTAAAGGATGAGGAGGCTCCAACAAAAGAGGGCAAGTGAGCCAATTGCCCACCGCACATGAGACCGTCAAGTTCTCCCGTGGAGTTGGTCACACGCAGAGCCTCACTGGGAGTCGATGTTTTAGGAGATGGCCGACGGATGGGATTATCTCATGCTGTCGGTGCCCTTGGTGGAATATCGAACGCAAATACGATTGGCTAAAGAATGGCCGTGGTACTCGAGGTTGGATCTTATTCGTGGTCTTCCGAGCTTGGTTGCTGACGGCCAAGCTGATGTTTGAAGCTGTTGATACAAGCGGGATGTACTGTACCGCTTTCACGGACATACACCTCTAGGACCAAGAAACCAAAGATGCAAAAGAGAATGCGTTGCGAATATCAATATGCAGAAAAAAAAAAGAGGTGGAAGTTAGGTTCGACCGCGGCGGTCTGGCAGCATGGCAGCGCAGTGGCTGTGTGGCTGCTCTCACTGCCCCCGGTTACATGTCATTCAACCTTAAAGATCCAGATGCCCTTTTGGCAATTCCCGTTGGCTGGATCGTATAATTTGGTGTGTCGCCAGCATGTCTTGGAATTTCTGACCAATATTCGGCAACACTTGGAGAGCCTTGCGAGAAGTGTAACGTTCGCGGAACTGCGGGTGATCCGGGAGGGAGGGCAAGGCAACCACATGAATCTGCACGATGACCACGCAGCCTTGCCAAGTCACCTAGAAGAGTGGTAAAGACTGGTAAAAAGGGAAAGAAGAACTAAAAGCATTTTCTGATTAGGATAAGCGTGCATATCCATACATGCCCGCCATTTGGCACGTTGAGCGATGACCGAGACGATGTACGAGCGGATGCGAAGACCGCGGGGAAGAGAGATATCATGTCATGTGCCTGGAGTCAACTTCGAACTTCGAAATTGAGGACTGGGGACGGAAACGCGAAATTGGAGCCATGGGAATTGATGGATAGGTATGAATGATGCTTTTTCGCGGGTGTTGTGTGGAAGTTGTTTGGGTGGTGACAGAAGTGTGGCCGTCGCGGATGAAGCGAGCTGTGCCAATGCCGCTTGCCGAGATGCTTCGAGTTCGCCCGATTCAAACGGAAACAACCTACAATCTACGACTACCCCGCGGTCATCATCAAGGTCGAGTGACACACTCAGTTTTTTCCTCTTTCTTTATCTGGATCATTGCTTAACTCAATCGCCCAATCGCACCTTCCATTTTGTCACGAACTTACTACTCTCCGCGACAAAAGTGGCTGCAACGAGTCGACCATGGAAGCCGCTCGACCAACCGACAGGATGCAAGCGGCAATTGCGCCTTCCTAAACCAAGCACTTGTCATAGTATCCAGGGTTGTCGCTTCCCGCCATCAAAAGACATCTCCATGTTCGTCGTCTCTTGCCGATGGATGGCTTTCGGGAAACCCATCGCGTCATGATAGGGAAAGTTCAAGTTCTTTCTGTCGGGAAAGAACTGACAACTGTCCTTGGAAGCTGGAAGCGTCGAGCTAGAGACAACGTTGGTCCTGCCTGGTTGTCCCATCGTCACAACTATGTATGGCACGTGGGCCGGATGATGGTTGAAATAGCCATTGTGCAACTCACCTACGCAAGACTATCAACTTTCATCTCAACATCGACCATCAAACGGTTTAGATGGAAAAAGAAAGGGTCATACCAACGTTCGAACCCACGACCTCCCCTTCCTCTCCCCCTCACCACCGTCTCTTCCATCTCCGACAGAGGTACAAAAAAGTACAAAAAAAAAAAAAAAAAAAAAAAAAAAAAAAGACCAACAACCGCTCAATCGAGCAGCACATCGGTTAACCCTCGAAACACCCTCCTAACCTCTTTTTTTTGGTCATGGTGCTATTACCTTCTTCTGTCGCTGCAGATTCTAACAGATCCATTTAGGTAAATGGAGGCGGTCTACGATGTGGAACGCTCTTTGGGTTACTTGAATGTACATCATCGCTCCCGAACCGACAGGTATCTTTTTCGGAGGAGGAGGAGGTTTGAGGTGTTAGGACGGTAGACCGTTGCGTCATCCGACCAAGCCGGTTGTTGGTGAAAGTGGGTGACGATTAGGGAGCTTATATGGGTGTTAAGAGGGTTTCTTCGCCGACACGAGTTAGCACGGAGAGAGCAAGGACGAATGGATGACCGACGTACGTTTTGGTCAAACTCCATAGTCGAAGATGAGGGTCATCTTTTGGAAAAAAGCGGATGGAAGTCAAAATTCCACGGCAAAAGAAAAAAACGGAGATGACGATGCATTCATGCAAACCCTACGAGATGCCCGGAACAAGAGGGATCAGGCAGATATTGACTTTGTGGAAATATTCTGTCAACCCTGCCTGCCCAACACTTCTGATGGGCTACGCGTGTTGTTGATATTGTGATCATCCACATTCGTCGGTTGGCAAAAATACCTCTGGGGAGGTGAGCGAAGTTAGGTCACTCACTGTAATCCAGAGCGTGATACTGTGAATACGCTGTAGTCGTCGGTCGGCATGGGTTGACGCGCCTACAGTAGATACGAGATAGGTATACATGGATGTTTGTGACCTGATGGAAATCAAGCATACCAGAAGGCGAGACGGGCCATGATGGTCATGAAAACGATGTTGATAATCTTCCCCAAATGATATTTCTTGACTTTTTTTTGAACCTGAACCTAGCTCGACGAAGCATGGGTTTATTTCCCACCCTGATATTACCGCAACCCGGTGAGAGTATGATTGATCTATCTGAGTGTGTGAGCAGTGTAACGGCGAAAGGCTCGGTACCAGACTTCGCATGAGTAAAATAGATGAAGAGAGACAAACCATGATTCATCTTTTCAATGAAGACATCTAACACAAGCGGTGTTAAGCGCGCGCGCATGTGTATGATACAAGTACAAGCAAACGAGAAGCGAAGTACAGATATTGGATGTTAGCGGAAACAGAATGATTTGGGTATCGTATCACCGCAGGTCGGTGTGCTGCTTACAAGTATCATACATATAAAGAGAAAGAAAACGCTCAGGATCAACTTCAAGAAAAGACAAGAGAGATGATCAAGAATAAAAATGGTATTCATAAAACGGCCTTCGACAAGGATGTTGGCATTCATCCAAATCATCCATCCATCCACCCAGATGTGGTATAAATAACCCTGACCCGTCCGTTCCCGTTCCCGTTCCCGGTTTACCACCGACCGTGCCGCCCACCCAGTACAGTAGAGTTATGTCAGATATGTTGTGTCTGTCTCATTCAATCATTAGGAGGAAGCCCCTCTCCTCATCCCATCCCGTCCCTATTCCTATTTCCAACCCATCCCTGGCCAAAAATAATAAACAAAAAGGGGGGAAGGTACATAAGAAACAAAAAGGTATAAATCAAGAAACCTTCTTGTGGTTTCTTGTTGTCGCTAAAGGATCCCCTATCATTTTTCCTCCGGTATGAACTCCATCCCACCATTATATTGAAACACCACCCAAGGCCCAGTTTATGGTATCATTGCCGACAGCGAAAGAAACATTAGAAGAAGCAAAGAAGCTTTTTGTTTTAGTCCAACCCGACCCCACTTCATTGGTTGCATGACTGCAACATTAGCAACCTCCTCGCCTCCTCCTTCTCCTCTTCGGTCGGGTCATCCGAAATCCAGGGGCCCTTCTCCTCTTCTGTCGCGTTGAGGAAGCCCTCTGTCCTCCTGAGAGTTTGGACATCGAGATCCGTCACATACGACTTGCCATCCTGGAGCTTGATGCGCACCTCGTGCTCAGTCGACAACATCATGTCGTCCTTGGCCAGGCGACGGGGTCCATCGAAAACAGCGACGACCCGCTTCTTCATGGTCATCTGACCCTTGTCGAAGCCCCAGCTGGAAGGGTAGTCGCGGCGGTTCTTGCGACCGCGGGTCTTGCTCTGGAGGGCGACACCACCGCGGGAGTGGGTGAGACCTCGGGACTTCTGCACACCGTTGGCGGGGTTGCCCTTGGTCTTCCTGGAAGGCGAGTTCTTGGAACCACGACCGGCGACGGAATCCTCATTGTCATCCTCATCGGCCATATCCTCATCTTCGTCGACATCATCCATCTGGGTGGTCATTGTCGTGGTAGTCGGGAGGTTGTTCTTCTCGAGAGTGTTGTGGACCTCGCGATCGTTTTCCACCTCGGCCAATCGCTTCGCATTGATGGCTTCGGCCGGGTCCTCCTGTTGTACAATCCTCAACACGCAGTCGTCCAAGTGCTCGTAGAAGTCTTGGGCGTTGCTGAAAGTTTGAGAGCATGTCGAGCACTTGCCGGTGGCATCGGGTGCGTAGCCCGTCAGCTTCTTGTTGCTAGAGCTGCCGCCGTTGACACCACCAGTCTTCTTGCGGCTGTTAGGTGGTGTTTGTTCTACACCATGGACGGCTGTCAAGTGACGCTTGAAGACGTCGGCGCGGTTAAACGACTTCTCGGCCGCTGAACCGGAGCCCGGACAGAAGCCGCACACCATTGTTCCCTTGTAATGTGTTAGAGTGTGGCGGTTCTTGTCGTACTTTCTCGCGAAGCCCTTGACATGATATTCGCATGTCGCAATGGGGCACTTCTCTGGCCGTTCTGTTTGGTGGGTGAGCATGTGAGCCTTCAAATCCTTGAAGGTCTTGCCACACTCGGGGTGGGGACACCTCTGCTTCTCCTTCGAGGCTTCATCTCCGCTGTATGGCTGTTCGGAAAAGTTGGACTGGTATGAAACCAGGCTTTGTCTCCTTTGTGGCTCAAGAGGTGCCGGGAAGGGCGAGTATGTGGGGTAGTTGTTGTTTTGTAGGAAAGGTGACGTGCTGCCAGTTCGGAGCTGAGGAGATGCGGAAAGAGCGGGTGAGCCGGGATACGCGGAGCTAGGAGCAGGGTACATTTGCTCGTAGCTAGGCATGGCCATCGATCGAACTTCGGGGTGAATCAAGGAAGGATCTGTTTGTGAAGGAGAGGAGTCAGCAGTCCGCTTTTGGTACGTAGGTTCGAGATCTGACAGAGGAAACCAACACGAGGAATCAAGGGGAGGAACGAAATGCCCGCTTGACTGAGAAAAGAAAGAGGAAACCATGCGAGAACTTTGGGGTCTTCGGTCCACATAGTGTTTACCCCAGGCGGGGAGCGGAGGAGATGGGAAACAGGAAGTAGAAGTGGCAGGAGAAGAAAACACAAGGTTGGAAGCCATTGAAGATGAAGAAGTTGAAACCGTGGAAGGGGTCGCCGGGCTTGTCGGCAGGCGTGTGTCGAGGACCAGACCAGTCTTGGGCGTTATGGCATAGGATGTGGGGGAAGAAGAAGAAGGAACACAGGAAGGGGCAAGAAGGCTCTGACACGGCGAAAGACGAGATCTAGGGATCTGTTCAGACTCACCAACAAAGCCGGGGCCTTTGGGATTCGAGAATTCGAAATTGGGGTTATAGCCATCAAGAGGCGTGAAAGAGTACTCGTTGCCATGGTAGTACTCGCCTTGGTCGACAATGCCGGGGCTCACACCGGGGCCCGAAGGAGCTCCCCACGAGGCTAGGTTGCCAGGATTTGAGAGGGGGGAACCGGCGTTTGACGAGGATGCGCTGCGGCTGTCGACGCTCAGGTTGGAGTCTTCGGGATACAGGCTGGGGGACTTCGCATGGTACATGTTGTATGGCGCATCGGCATACAAAGTGGTGTTTGGGTCGTAGGCCATCGATGTCGTGTACTCTTGGGATCGAGGTGGGTAGTATTCAGGGGAAATGCCCATATCTACGGGAGTTGAGAACATTCCTCCCTGCGGGGGCTCTGGGTAATGCATCGTGTATTCGTCGGCTTCGTAATGGCGAGCAGTCGCCATACGTCGGAGCAGGAATTTCTAGTGATGGGTGTAGAAGCGTCGAAGATATGGTGGCTTGCTAACAATGAGCCACAATCCTTTTGCTGTAAGTCCGCATATCAGTCAAACTGCGCTGGGGAATTCGGAGCCCACTATCATCTGTCAGTCACTCACCTTCACGAGTGAATACACTGGTTCAAGGTCTTCGAAAACAGAGTGACTGGATAGTTCGCAGCTGCTGGTTTATAACAAGGCGCAAGTTGAAGCTGGGAGTCGATCAAAGGGAGGGTTCCTTGGTAGTGAGTCTCAGACCGTGACTGAGACCTCGGGTCGTGGTGAGTACGGAAACACTGATGTAGTGGCCGGTGGTGGTAATGAGTGATATAATGATCGATGGGTCGGATTATCGGTTGATGTGAGTGTCTTGATCTTCCAAAATACCCTTCGTCCTTGATCAGTCCAAATCCCTTGTTGGTTTTGTCGTAGTGTTTAGGTGGGAGTGAACTTGGAGGACTGCTGATTATGTCCTTCACGCTGAGCTTATCCAACTTGGGAAATTGTTGGAAGCTTCAGTCGATGTAAACACTCTTGTTCCTGGGCTGATGGTGAAAGAAAGGGACAAGAGAGGCGTATTCCAAGACGATCGGGACGTGTGAGGTTTCTATATACTCGGAGCCTCTGACGAACTGCTGGTATCCCGGAGGAGCGTGGAGCTCGGTGGGCATGGGAGATCTGGTAGGGCTCCAGTGGCCGGCGAGCAGCGAGCGAGGCGTAGTACATGCATTGGGAATGTATGTACTGCGTACACACACAAGAATCTGACAGGGACAGGGTCGAGAGTGTAGGGGCTAGGGGGCAGAGACAGGGGGTGCTGGTGTGGGCGAGAGGGGGCAGGGTACAGAGGGTGGGTGTACCGAGAGACTTCTTGGGAGCTACGTAGCGAGTGCACATCGCCAACCCTGCTGCCCGTCCACTGAATGGGGCTCATGCTCCTGAGGGCGCCAACCGTGGATTGCTGTGTAGGTACCCTTGTACCGTCGTCAACACTGGCCACCCATGTCTTCTCATGTCCCAACTCGTCGACAGACCACAAGTCGGCCACTTGGACGACTGCACCCACGAACTCTTTTGGATAGTGTGGTTGGGTGAACGGGGCCGGAGGGGGTTGAGTCCAAGACTACCTCTCGACTGGCACAGTATGGAGCAGGGCCCCGAATATCGATCGCTAGTTTGAGGTGGTGACTGGTGATGTTGACTTGTCCGTGGGTTAACTTGGGAACTAGACTGATAAAATGACCAATAATTACCCAGTCCAGAACCCAAATGCCAAGGCCACTGTCCCTGGTCCCTGCCCAGGAAGGGCTCGCGGGTTGGAAATTGGCACGCCGTCTATCGAGCATTTCCCAGAGCTCAAGAGAGCATCCGGAAGCGAGACATGCTGTCGCAAACCTGTCCTCGCCCCTGGATGTCGTTTTTGTTGCCATCCTTTTTCTTCTTCCATCTCTCATGATCCGAACGACCAGTCATATCTCGTCTGGACATCATACAAGTGCGGGTTCCTGAAGAGCCGACGCAGTGGACAGGCGAGGAATGAGAGTGTGAGGCAGAACCCACGAGGCCTGGATCCGTTGTCCCTCGGAGGACAGCACAAGCTATTGGGACTCTAGCATGGACGATTTGATCCCCGCACCGTTCTTTGCAGACCGCGCCGGTGCTGTGCCTATTGTATCTCTCCGCCTCCGAGTTCTCTCTTTCCTACGCATTTTACACTTTTCTAGTGTGTCTTTGGGTGTAAGCACTGTCTTGAACGGAAGCCATCCGAACGTAGGGAAATTGCAGCCATCACATCTATCCACTCCAAGACATGTACAAACTCGATGATGGACGTTTTGCTTTGGCTCACTGTACTGTAGCCGGGTGAATCACGAGTCCTGTCAACGGTCACACAACCGGGTCGGAGGAGTTCAGTCAGTCGCACGCTAGGTAGCAGACTCAGGTAGTTACCGATGCTGTCTCGCGGACAAGGCACCAGATTGGGGAGCCCACCACCGCACATCAGGCTCTCGAGTCGAGTCTGTAGCCACCGAGGTGACACTCTTCCGTCACTGCTTGTAGGCATACCTAAGCATCTCGCCCATTGCCAGGCCCAGAACTGCATGTTGCCTCGAGGGATCTGCGAGAGACAAAGTCCAGTGGCCAAGAAGCAAGAATAACCTGCCTTCCACGATCGTCAACGTTCAAGCCGGCGTTCAATGCCATCTGATGCGCATCGAGGACTGTATGGGCATACTTCTTTCGGTCTTGTCCTTGTCGCAGATGTAGGGACTCAGGGTCGCAATCGCAGTCGTAGTCGTAGTCGCGATATCGTGAAGGTGGCCGTATCCTCTGAAGTCAAGGAATGAATAAAAATATCTTATGCTGTGCAAGCCGCTGCGCATACCCGACATATTGAATGCGCAAGCCTGCCGCCCGCAGCGCCCGGATGGTTCCTTGGAGTACCGTAGGGACTGTTATGGCACTGCAATGTGCCCTTGGTACTGCAATGGTGCAGTGGCTTGACATGACCGAAAGGGAAGGGTTGATGGGTGGCTGCCGGTGACGGGACAGGCCCGCCAATGGAATCGAGGGGGTTGCAGCCAGTGCGGATGGGTGTTACTGCAGCAGTGGACGGCCAGTGCGCTAGAGGGCAAAAAGGGTGTTGTTCAGTGTGTGTTTTTTGCACCCCGAAATAAGGTGCACAGCCCTATTGTCATGACCAAACCGGGAAACCTTTCCAGCCTTCTTTTGTCGCAATCGTGGCTTCGACGTGGTAGCTTAGTGATAGTCTGCCATCCGCGATGCCATAATTGAACGTTTTGTTTTGCTTTCCACGATGATGCGTCATGTACCGTAGCTCATCTTGCGTACGGGCCGGCTTGGTAGTGTAGTGTGGTGGTGTCTGGGAATGGTGGTGATGGTGCTTCGGGATGTGGTGTCTCGTCCCGAAAATGTGAAGCTATCACGGTGTCATCACGGCGAGTCTGGAACAGTGGAACTGGTTCTGGGCATGGATCCCCTCTGCTCGGTAACCCGTTCCCATCGCATCGCGCTGTCTCTGCTGTTCATCCGGTATTCGTCCGGACTGCAATCCGTTGTCCCTGGTCGGTCCTGGTTGGTGCAGTACCAAGCGATGAAAAGCGGAGTACATGGCAGAGAATGTCGGGCAGAAAGAGGGCCGCTTGCCAGAGCGATCGGCGGATTCGGTCGGGGGGCCATGGGGGGCACCGTGGGCACCTGGTGGACGACTGGGACTCTGCCATGGGGGCCAAACATTGTGTGCCCATGCGCTTCTCCCAAACAGGCAAGGCAATCTCGAAACGATTTCGCGAACTCGAGCCTCATCCTCGTCGAGTCGGTGGGTTTCGCAAATTTGGCGGTCAAGAATTCGAAATGCACGAGGAAGGACAATTTGCAACTTCTGGCGGCTTGACAGTCGAGACCAGATCGAGAGATGGCTTTTCTCCACCGCGCGAGTGGACAAGAAGAAGAGTTTGCGAGTTTGATCTTAACAAGAGTGAACGTGAAAAAGAGTGGACGACCGAAATTTGATGAAGTCTTTTCAACTTCATCTTTGGTCAACATGCTCCTTCCTTGAAAACTGAAAGGTTTTTTCTTTGAAAATTTGAACATCGGCAGCAACTGATGAACATGTAAGCAGGCAAGAGCGAACGTCCTCAAGTCTGCAAGTACAATTTGAAAGTCTGCACCTTCCCCGTATGCGGCGTTCATTAACGTGCAACTGAAGTATGCACAAAGGGTAATTCTTTCGCGCTGTCCCTCTCAACCGATAGAGTTCGAGATCTACACTCCACCACAGGTAGTAATCGCCCGCGCGATGCAATGGTTTTGCTCTGAAACTTTTGCACGCACCTTACCCCCAGAACCCCAACACCAAACGAAACGAAACAAAACAAAACTAGATATCACCGTGGAGCCTCGTTCGCTACCCCACCTTCGTTTTCGCTTTCCCCAAGGCCGTCGTCATTGTCGCCATTCGCGTGATCACAAGGCTCGGGAAAGCTCTGGAAATGAGGACGCAAACCCACAGCAGTGAGCAGACCAATTTGACGAATTGGCTCGTTCCACCGCCAAGAACGCATGTTGGTACGCCGCAATATCCAGTCGCGGAGTATTTCATGATATTCTTTTACGTATGCGCCTGCCTGTAAAGTGTAATCTTTGCATCATGCACGGGCTGCGCTTGCCCGCGTCGTTACGGGAAAAAGGCAGTTTGCAGAAAGCAAATTACAGACTCCACGGTGGTGCAACCGGCAACTCGGCTGCTAGAGGAAGAAGGCAAAAGGCATATGTTGATTATACTACCAAGGATTTTGACGATCAATCCCATCACAAGCCGATTCAAAACAAGAACCAAGCCCGTGATCGGCGGATTTCCGTGCCTGTGCCTGAGCCCTGAACCTCCTGGGCGGAGGGGCGGAAACGACGACGAACCGTTCCCCCGGCGGCCCAAGATGATGGAACCCGTGCGGTGGGACATGCAGACCCGCCGGGACCCGCCTGCCCCGCCAGCGACAGGGGCACCGCAACATGTCACTCTCGTACCGCTGAGCAAATCCCGAAACCGAGGCCGATGACATGGACTGTAGGTCTCCGAGGCCCGAGCCGAGCGCCCGCTCCGAGTCTCTGAACTCAAAAAGTGATAAGGTGCCGTGGTGTTGACGAGAGGTTGAAGACCTAGGTACTCGTCAGGTCTTCAAAACCGACCGTCTGACTAGCGGGCGGGCTACTAGTCAGGGACATCAAATCGTACATGCCCAGCAATTCGTACCTGAAACTGGGGGTACCTTTCTACACTGCCATTTTTCTAGCAAATCAATATAAATATGTTTAATAGTATATTTTTTTTTCGTTATATGCAACCCAAATTCCCCGTACTACCCAATACTTTGAATGTATACTACTGGTTTGCATTTTGAATTCCCCTTTTGTATTCAAATTGCTTGAACTGCTATTGCATTAATATTATCGATTATTATACCCATTTTTACGTATAATTAGTCTTAATCGATTGTAAATCCCCTTGAGCGCCCTATTTCGCTATTTCCTTTACTATACCTCTTCTAAACTATAGATTTACCAATAGTTCTTTACGTTCTAAAATGAGGCTTAGCGAGATACCTTTTAATATAGAGGATATTATAAATAACGTATAAATATTTCTTCCGTTAGAGGGGAGACTTCAAACGGCTATAAAAATATTTTAGAATAAAGGGTTTAAAACTATAGTAAATGTAGCGAAGGTATTTCGAACTCTATATAAATAAATTGTTAACTACTATAAAGGTATAAATTCGAAGGTAGGGAATAGGGGCTATAATTCGCTATTAATTAGAGAGGAGGATTTTATTATATATATTTAAATTAATATACAAAAATCCGTCAGTTAGTACTATTTCTTTTTATTTTTTACTTTACTATCCTTACGTACTTTAATTAATTATATTTTATAAGTATCGAAATAAATCCTTAGCGGTTGCTATTAATTATAATTGCTTTAATAAAATTTAATAATAATAATAATAATAATAATAATAATAATAATAATAATAATAATAATAATAATAATAATAATAATAATAATAATAATAATAATAATAATAATAATAATAATAATAATAATAATAATAATAATAATAATAATAATAATAATAATAATAATAATAATAATAATAATAATAATAATAATAATAATAATAATAATAATAATAATAATAATAATAATAATAATAATAATAATAATAATAATAATAATAATAATAATAATAATAATAATAATAATAATAATAATAATAATAATAATAATAATAATAATAATAATAATAATAATAATAATAATAATAATAATAATAATAATAATAATAATAATAATAATAATAATAATAATAATAATAATTATAATACCCTTATACTTCGAGCCTTAATTAAGTAAGTATAGCGTTATTTATAAAGGGGAGACTTTTATAGCGTTCGAATTAAATTAATAGTATAAGTACGTAGAGTATCCTAGATTAGGGTAAATATTGAAGAAGTCTTTTATTTATTTAATAATATTATTATTAAATATAAAATTAAGTTAAATAACGTTTAGAATAATAACGAATCTAATTTTAGGGTTAGTATTTTAAATAAAACCTATTATATATAAATTTATACTAAGATAACCGAAGTGTAATCTATTAACTTTGACTAGAAAGTTCTTATTATTATCCTTAAGGCTATTTCTATATTTAATCGGACTATACCTCCCTTCGTTTTGCTTCCTAGCGTTAATATTATATATAAATATATTAACAATTCCCTTAAAGACAGGATAATTATTACTGCCTTTTTACGAGGTCATATAAATAATTAATATATATTAGATTGGTTTAAATATTAGGAGGAGTATTCTCGTCCCCTTAATAAAGAGGAGAGGAGAGTCTTAGTACTAAATAACTATAGCAATTATTATACTATCGAATTTGACGAATAATATAGGAGGAGTAATATTACCCTCTTTCTTTTACCCTTTTATTTAATATACTTCCTTTAGCCTCTTAACGTTAGGATATTTCAAATTTATAAATACTTTTATCAAGTTAATATACACAAAAGGTTCGCCTTTAACAATATTGATTATATTAAATTAGATTTTCTAAACAGCTTTAAATACGTCCGTAAGAAGGTAATAAAGAAAAGGAATATCTACTTTACTTAAAAGCGTACCGGTTTAGTTCTATTCAAATCTAATTTAATACTATCAAACCTTCGTAATTTATTAACCTTATTAATAAATAAGAAATATATTAAATAAAGGCGAGGCTATATTATTCGTTTTATTAAATAGGGGATTATTAACATTAGTCTAGAAGAAAAAAGATAATATTTCGTATATTAGGAGAGCCTTCTAATAATACTGCTATATTAAGCAACTCCTCTATAATAATTAAAGTTACTATAGTAAGAGAGCTCCCTACTATACCAAAACTTTCTATATTAAAGTAGTAAGACCGCTTTTAAAAAGATTAGAATAGTATAATTATATTAGTATTTAATTTCCCTTCTATTAAAGAATATAATAATTATATCAATTAACGGCTTTCGTTTACAATTAAGGGAAATTACTTAATATTATTAACGGTTTTATACGTATTTACTAAGCGAAATAAAGCTAGTAATACCTTTAATTTAGTGGCTGTAAAGGAGGTAGAATTTAAATGTAAGTGTAAAGAGGAAGTAATTAAAGAGGTATTACGTAATTAACGTAATACTAACCGTTTATTAAAATATAACAATACTATTATTATTAGTAATGGCCGTTTATACGCTATAATAAATAAATACTAGCGTATTATTCTTATTAAAAAAGAAAACGAATATATTTATAATTATAAATTTTAATAAGAGTAAAATACATTAAGGAGATAGATTAGCGGTTTTATTATTATATAAAAAGTATGGCTAGTTAACGAACGGTTACGGTTACATATCTTTAAAATATTAAGGAAGGAGATTTAGGAATATACTAAATTATATATTATATATTTTTTTGACTTCGATTAGCCAGTTAGTAAATATCATAAAGAGAGAGCTAACTGTTAGAATTATTATTAAATTAAAAAGTAGAAAGCTATAGATGAAGAAGTTAAACAGTTAAGGTTTGACCGTGCCCGTATTATATAAAATATTACTCTACCCTTATATTAGTAACTTTTTAGTAATCTTCCTAAACTACGTACTC